CCGTTGGTGATAGGGTTAGTTGAAAAATGATGGTTGTGGCGGTGGTTGATTGGCGGGTGTTGGTGATGTGGCGGTAAGGTGGTGTTACTATTGGTTGTTGTGGTGTTTGGGTAGTGGTGGTTGTCGCGGAGGTGGTGGTAGTGGTCGCAGCGACAGTGCAGATGTTGTGGTGGTGGATCTAGCGATTTTGATTTTCTGTGACTAAAAATTAATCGGTGACCTTAAAATTCGTTAATATGTGATTAAAAATATAATCGGTGACCAACTATTTTGTTATCTGTGACCTAAAAATTATATAATCTGTGACTGTGAAAAAATATATGACCAACTAATTTGGAAATCTGTGATTGTGTGACTTATAAATTTTGATTTGTAACCAACTAATTTTGAAATCTGTGACCAATGAATTAATTGTGACCTACAAAATTTTTGAACTGTGACCGTGTGACCTATAAATATTGATATGTGACCAACTAATTTGGAAATATGTGACCAACGAATTAATCGTGACCTACAAAATTTTTGATATGTGACTGATAATAAAATTATGACCTAAAAAATTTTAGATTTGTGACTCGAAATAATCCGTAACCTACAAAATTTTTGATCTGTGACCGAAGAACATTTGTCGAAGTGGTCGTCGATCACCGAAGCAGTAGGGGAGGTGAGGTGAGGTGGGGTGGGGTGGGGTGGGGTGGGGTGGATGTAGGTTAATTATATTATATTACAGTTAAATATTTAATTTAATATAATAATTGTGAAATATAATTAATCAATTCATGAAAAATCTGATTTTTGCAATTTTAAATATTGGGGCCTGATTTTTGATTTTGAGATAGATAAAATTTGAGTTGTGAATTTTTCCCTTAATTTAACCATATATATTATGGAATCCACAACTTTCAATCACACATTTCATTAATTTTTATCAAAATCTTGATTTTAATCCCAACAAACCTGGGATAAATTTAACAAAGATACAAAATTTATTATATTTTTTATTCACATGCTTGCATTTATTTATTTATGTAATTTTAATGAATGATTACTAAAATTGATGAGTTAAAACTTAAATAGATAGTTTACATATTTTCAAATTAAGCCCTTAATTGGTTTTCATTATTTTCAAAGTACGTTTTTATCTCTTATTTTGAATTACATATTATTCAATAAAATAATATTACACGCACACCCAACATTTTTTCTTTATTTTCTTAAACACGCGTTCGTCATCAAAATACTATTTTGAAATACATTTTGACTCAAAGGAGTGCTCAGACAGCTCTAAGCAACCATTTGCCAATGCAGAGTTAAGAGGAAACTCTCAAATGTCATTAGCAAGTCTAAAATTTCAAAGTTAAAACCCTTGTCCTTCACGGTCAATACTATGAATGAAAAATGCCAATAAGAGTTTAAACAATTTTCTTTTTCGTAAGAAATAATTCACGGTGGGTGTTAATCAAGTTAGTGTAATTATAATCACATCGCAATTTTTTTGGGTCCAACAAATCTTAATTTCCATAAAGGTCGTCGACCTTATTTATTTTCATGCGTATGTTTCAAACTTTTTGTCACACGATTATCCTTAATGTTCAATTATTTAGCACATACTATCTCATGATTGTTTCGGTAAAAAAAAAAAAAAAAAATTATTAGTGCCCTTTGAAATGGGATGCAAGTATTTTTGTCGAACTTTTGAATTTGTTATTTTATATTTAAAAATATGAGGGGTAAATAAGTCTTTTATATACTTCTAATAATTTTATTTTATTATTGGATAGAAACTGTCATCACGTAAAGGATGTGTTAATTGATAGAATGTTCATAATAAGAATGCGATGAAAAAAGATTGAGACATAAGTGCGATAATGAGTTAAGTTAATTTTAAGAACCTTCATGACAATTAAAATATGGAACAACAAATAGAAATCTTTACGGGAATATTACCAATCAAGTTATTGTAACTTGTAGTATTTACTCATCCGTCAAAACCTAAATAAGAGAAAATTTGAAAAGGAAAGGAATAATCTATAAATATGATATTGCACAAAAAAAAATGCAAATTTAGAATGCAAGAAGTGAAGGAAAATCCCATTTAAGAAATAAAAATGTTGCTTACCTTTTTTGGGTACATATAAATGTCACTTGCCTATAAAAGAAAAAAGAAGAATGAAAGAGGAGATTGTAACAAATCAAGGTTATCCTTAACACATTCCAAACTTCCAAATTAAGAAAGTATCTAACTTTACCCTTTAATTTCCCCTCGCTATCAATCTCTCTCTTTTTTCCATAAGTAGTATCTCGTTTTTCCCCACTCCTGAAGTGGGAAAAATTATAAAAATTTCACGCCCCTTTTGTAAAACATAATAAGAGTATCACACGGCAAGTAACCTTCTTTGTGTAGTCGATATGTAAAAGACGTTGTTACATCATCATCGCACTTAATAACAAATGAAAATATTTTTTTTTTCAATTACCAAATTATCTAATGCCTCTCTCGTAAATAGTTTCGCTATAGAGTGCGATGCTCCTTCTCATTCGAGTCTATTTGAATGTACGGCGCACTGTGCATATTGGACTATTTATGAACAAGATTGTATAGGGGTAGAATACGTTGTTGTTAACTTGTTATACAAAGTAGAATAAAATTAATTTTTGACCACTGTACTATACTGTACTTTTTATTTTCTTGTATAAAATCTTCAAATACTTATATACACAATGTAATATAAAATTGAGTGGTTATGACAAATTTTTAATAATGTAGTCAATAACATTTAAAAGATAAGAAGGGAATTGCAACAATTTTTCTATCATCCTCAACTCGTTACTAGAATCGCAATATCTCCAATTCAACCCTTTGAAGCTAATATTGCACTTCATCTAGTTGTATCGAGACACAATTATGGATCAAACACCATGTTGTAAGTAACATTGTTAACTACATTACCGAGACTCGGTCCTAGCTCAAGGATACCTTGGGAGTGGCCTTGGGCCTCAAGATATGTGGGGACTCAAAAAATTTAAAAACCCATTAATGACATTTTTTTTTTAACTTGGGAAAGATAGTATAGGAAATCTGTGAAATTTTCTCAGATTTTTTTTTTTTTTAAATTATTCAGGGTGAATTTTTATTCTTCAGATTTGATTGCTACTTTTGATTTTTTTTTTTTTTTTTTTTTTTTTACTTTTTACACGTAGGATATTTTGGACAATAAATGGTAGTCACCATCATTATACCTCACCGATTTTCAGAAGCCCTTTGTATTTTATTTCTTGAATGCACGAGAATTGATTTTGAGTAATGTTCCTCATCAGGAGAAATTGTGTTTGAATGGACTATGAATGATGCTAAAGAGATTGTTGTGCTTGTAAAAAATTATTTTTAGGGGGCCTCAAAATAATTTATTGACTAGGGCTTCAACATTTTCAGGGCCAACCCTGACATTACCTTTGTTAAAATCGATGTTAAACGTACATACAGATACAAGCAAAATTGTAATTTTCGAAAACGAACAAGAGCACCGCTACCAACTTACCTAAACTATTAAATATCTATATTAAAATTACTAAATGCTTAAATGCATTTTACAAGTATCGAAACAAAACAAAATTACCGCTACCAACTAAACTACTTTTGTCACTTTGTAAAAGCTTGTATTGCTTCGCATTCAATGACACAAACACACACAACATGTATATAAATACAAATATTTTTACATTTCAAAAAATTGATAAAATTACAGCTACCAAATACCCTTATTTACCAAAATTTGCTGGGTAAAGTTATTGTTAAATTGTCATCACATTGAATGACAAATACACACATCTATATTTGCTATTATGGCAAATCACCCTCTTTATTAAATCACCTCTTTAATGTAATTATTGCATTCAATTACGAATACAGATATGCAAACATGCACATACATTTCAAAAATCTTGGTTCGAGACAAAATTTCCATCTACCGAATAACCTTATTTATTAGGCTAATACTATTTAGGTGGTCGTGAACCCATTAATTCATCTTCAATCACTCTGTGGGTATAGGGAATTTTTTACAGAAATTGTACCAAATACACACAATATATGGGTTCCATTGTTTTTAACAACATTTAATTCATGTGAGTCTTGTCTCCTCATGCGAGAGAAATTCAAAAATCTGGAAAAATTCTGTCACTTCTTCCTGTACTTGCATCATTTTTCATTCATCTTTCAATTGGAATTGAAATATATTTTAATGAAATAAATAATGATTTAGAAAATCTACAGTCACGTAGACCGACTATGATTATCGTTAATGATAGATATTAATACTCCATTTAAAAATCTATCTGTTAAACTTATTGTTACACTATCATCGATGAACACCCACCGATCTGACAATTAAATTTCTCTAATAAATCTATCAGTCAATCAAGATTTATTACGTAGTCACCGAATTCAATGAACACCCACCGATCTGACGAATAAACTTCTCTAATAAATCTATTAATAAACCAAAATTTATTACATAGTCATCGAATTCAGTTACAACCACACATATTTCAAAAATCTAATATACAGATTACATAATAACTACATCACAATTAACTTCGTTGAATAATCAGTCTGTAAATCATTGTTATAATTGCATAGTTATCGTATTCAACTACAAATACATTTATATATAATTACGGTCAAACCGTAATTAAGCACTTTTTTTCATCCGTTTTGAAGTCAGTCACGTAAAAAACGCAGCCGTGTAGTTATTCACATTGTTTGGACTGTGTGTATTCCCCACTCTGTCACACCATCAGCTCACCAACTTTTTAACTTTGTAGTCTAGAGAGAGAAACGCACAGCGAAAACTCCCAACCATTTTTCTCTCTTTCTGAGACTCAAAGGGGTTATACAGATCAATTCAAATTCAGGGTTTTATTCTTTCAGTTTCAATTTATTCTTCGATTTTTTTTATTTTTTGAATTATGGTATTTATGAAGGTCTGAATTTTAGGGAAATGGAGTTCGTGGGGAGAAAGGTGAAGAAAGAGTTTGAAGGGCACGGTACATTCTTCGGTTCCGTCGAATCATTTGACCCTTCAACTGGGTTTTTCAAGATCCTGTACGAGGACGGCGATTCCGAGGAATTGGACTTGAATGAAATTAGTTCTGTCTTGGTGTCTCCTGAGGGACTGGAATTGGCTCGGGAAGCGCAGCCTTCCTCCGTGAAGGAGCCCACCAGAAGGCTTGGCCGCAAGCCTAGGAAGCGGAGCCACATAAATACAGGTAAAATCGGCATTTCAGTATTTGAGAGTGGTGTTTCTGGTAATTTTGGTGGGGGTTCTGGGGAAATGGAATTGAATGCGGCTGGTTTTAATTTGAATGAAGGGTTGGATTTAAATGACGATGGGTTTAATAATTTGAATGATGATGACGAGAGGAATTTGGGTAATAATTGTGGTGGTGGTGGGGCTAAGCTGCAAGGTGTGGATTTGAATGAAGCCGTGAATTTGGAGTTGAGGAATGAGGGTATGGATTTCAATGAAGGGGTTTCAGACGATAGGTTGGGTAAAAGGAAAGAAATAATTGATTTGAATTTGGATGTAAATGAAGATTCTGAGAATTTTAGTCCAGAGAACAAAAGGGTTTGTTTTGACTTGAATTTTGGGTTATCAGAGAATGAGATTAGGAATTCAGATAACATACCGGGACAGTTTAGGGAAAATGAAAAATTCTGTGCAGAAGAAAAGAAGCCGGAGAGGGAAGAGATTGGTGGGGATGATAAGGTTATTTTATTTAATGTGAATGGTGAAAATGGAAATGAGAATATAGATTTAGAAAAAATAGGCGTATCGGCAGAAAACTGTGCCGGCAGAGTTGATTTTGAAAATGAGGTTCCAGTCAGCGCGCCAAGGGGCAGAAGGGGTAGGAAGAGAAGAGGGGTCTCGGAAGACAATATTAACTTGGATGTGCCAGAGATGGTAACCATGGATAGGGGAAATGGAAATGTGAATATAAACTCAAAAAACAACTACGAAAACCCACTGGAAAGTGGCAGTGGTGTACTTGATTATGATAAACAAGTTCCTGGAAGTGCGCCAGGAGGGAGAAGAGGTAGGAAGAGAAGAGATGTATCTAATAATAATCCTACATCTGCTACACCAGAAACGGGATTGAGAAGGAGCAATCGCAGAGTGAAAAGGGATTCATTTTCTGGTCAAGATCACGTTTTTAATACAGTAGGGTTAGACAGAGTCCCTGATCAGCTGTCCTCTCCAGTGATTAGCTCAGTTTGTGAGGAAAAGATTGAACTGTTGTGTCGTAAAAGATCTGAGGAAGATGTTCTTCCGCCAAAGGTGGAGTTGCCACCTTCTTCCGGAAATTTGGATATAAATGGAGTTTCTGCATTTGACATTCTTTCTGTTTATGCATTCTTGAGGTCTTTCAGTACTTCACTGTTTCTAAGCCCATTTGAGCTGGATGATTTTGTGGCATCTGTGAAATGTAACAATTCTACATTATTGTTTGATTCCATTCATGTTTGTCTTTTGCAAACATTACGGAAGCATTTGGAGTTGCTTTCCAATGAAGGTGATATGTCTGCGTCTAATTGTCTCAGGTATTTAGTTTACTTTCATTCCAAAAGTTATGCATTTGACTCCCAATTTCTTGGTACTTAATTCTTTTCTATTCAATTTGTAACTTAGGTCTCATAATTGGGATTTGCTGGACTTGATCACATGGCCCATGTTTGTTGTTGAGTATCTGTTAGTGTACAGTTCTGGATACGTCCCTGGTTTTGATCTCTGTCACTTGAAGCTTTCTCAGAGTGACTATTACAAACTACCCATGTCGACAAAGATTGAGATACTGCGGCGCCTTTGTGATGATGCGATGGATGTAGAATCCATCAGATCAGAGATAAATAGAAGGACATTGGCAACAGAACGTCAAGTGGATTTTGATCGGACTATGAAGTCAGACAGCTCCAAGAAAAGAAAGGCTGCGATAGATGTCGCTAGCAGTTCTTGCATCACAGAGGAGGACGTTGGAGAAACTGCAGATTGGAACAGTGATGAGTGCTGCCTTTGTAAGATGGATGGGAACTTAATATGTTGTGACGGTTGTCCTGCGGCATTTCATTCCAGATGCGTAGGAGTTGTCAGCAGCTGCTTGCCAGAGGGGGATTGGTATTGCCCTGAATGTGCAATTAACAAGGATAAGCCTCTGATGAAAGTGGAGAAGTCTATTCGAGGAGCAGAATTGTTGGGAATGGATCCTTACGGCCGACTATATTATAGCAGCTGCGGTTATCTGTTGGCGTAAGTTCCTTTCTTTATTAAAACCAAGAAAATTACGTTTATTTGTTTTATTATGAATAGTTAATACGAAACAATTGATAAGTGTGTAGACATATCTTATCAATATATGAGTTTATAATGTTTTAATGATCATAAAGTTGCCACAACCAGCATGGTATTGAAAAAAGAGTTGGTAAAGAAGATTTATATCACAAAATACATTGCCTTAATGCCTGACATTTGGAGAATCCATTTCTCTGTCTGAGCATTTTTTTTGTAAGCTCCTGCCACTATTAATGCTTTGAGGATGCTGAATCAAGGGTTAGCCTCTATCCTTTCTGCCTTTTGCACATTACTATTGTTTGGCTAATATCCATGCATACTTGCTTTATTGCTATTGCACCTTGATTTGTATTACTCTGGATTTGTTGGAAAAGTTTTCTGTCCATTTCTAGCTGTGGAAGAAAAAACAGCAATTTTTTGGTCACGCGTTTGGTGATACATGTCATCAACCTGATGTTGGTATTAGATGCTAACAGTATCAAATATCATGGTGGTATTTTCAATTTGGTAGTCATAAGTTGGCTTATTAGGGTGGGCATTAAATGGAGGGCATGCATTTTTATTATTACCTATTGATGCCTATGTGGCGATTGAATTATTGCGTGTAATGTGTTGATTTTTTTACTTACTGCAGTGATCATCATTTCTTTGGCATCTTCTATTCTGAACTCTAGTGGTGCGAGCCTCTTATCCCAATCTTAGTTTTGTTGGTTCATAAAAGACAAGCCCATTTGGCTGTGCTTAGAAGTTAATTTTGTAGAATACAAGTATTGTTAAAAAAAAAAAGTAAGTTTGAAAAAATCACATTTGGCAAAATAAGTAATTTTGAAGTAAGTTGGACTTAAGCCAAACATACTCAAGCATTGTTCCCAATGAATATGGAATTATCTACACGTGTTTTTTGGTGCAACTTTACATGCCTCTTGATAGAGCTGGGATAAGACTATTACATGGACCATATTTCAATGGTACAATACCTTTCTCCAATCTTCCTGCAATGAAGTGGTTAGTACGTTTATCAAGGAGGAGATGATGCCTGAGAAGACTAAGCGGTTGATAGCGAGCAATCATCTAGAAATGATGAATTATCGTTCCGAGTTTTGGTTCATATCAAGTAGGGATCCTCTATTTAACTCATCGATCACAGGTTACTAATATGCACGTATTTAGATCATTGACCACGGGTTACTAATATGTAGGGTGCTACATGAGAGTCACATTGGGAATATGGATATTTGTAGCATGTACATATGAAATGAGAGGAGTGAAGTACCTATTTTTTTGGGCTTTATTGTCTATCTTCTTTTGAAATTGAGTCGCACTATAACAACGGTAAACATTCCCTCCTACTCCGACTTTGATCGAATTGCCCACTTGCGTGTACAATGTGGAATGGTCTTAAAATGAAAGTAGAACAAAAATATGATAGCGAGTTGAATTCATGGAATTTCTCTTACTTACCCGAACAACAAGAAAGTCGTGACCTATTTGTTCCTTCAATCGTGTGGACATCCGAAGCTTCAATTTCGAAAGCGGATTAGTGAACATGATACTTCTCTCCATTGATTATTTCTTTGTTTCCAATTATGATGCAACTTGTTACAACTACTTTTTTCTTTACTATTTTAGCGAGCTTGTAATTAGGAAGAATTCGAGATAGGTCATTGAGAGGGTTCATAACTACATATCTCGAAAAATCCAATATTTAAGAAAATCAAATCCTTTGCAACTTGTTAAACAATATTATCTAAAAGTTTAATTTGTTAATGATATTTATTTAAATTTAGTTTCAACACTCCCTCTCTCATGCAAGCCAAGCTAAACCAAGCCAAGCGAAATTCAGATTACGATGTGTACAATTTTTAATATGGACAGCCGTGTGCTCGTGTTCCTTGAATTCAAGACTTCTGCTGCTTTAATACCATTTTGAACTATTTCATCTTAGGCTTAAGATGTTAGAACATCTATTTGAATTTCGTGTTCAACATAACCACATCAAAACATGTTATTTTGGTCTCTTTTTACTATTATTAATAATACTTCGTGTGAACCAAAAGAGAAACAATTTACAACTCCAAAAGAAAATGACCTTCTCTATAGTCTCCATTGTATTGTATCCTTTGAACATGAACACATATTGTAACGACTCGGGTCTCTATGCCCAACCTATTAACTTACGTACTGTTCGCTTTGGGTGGACCTATACCCACTTACCCCTTCACAACTTTCTATCGCTTTCGCCCAAAATTCGAACCCAAGACCTAGTGAGAGACTTAAGTTGAATCTCGATACCAATTGGTCGAGTCTTTATACTCAAGTCGTTAGCTTACATACTGTTTTCTTTGGTGGGCCTATTCCCACTTACCCATTTACGACTTTCTATTGAGTCCCCCAAGATTCGAACCCTAGACCTAATTGGTACTAGAATTCAACTTAAGTCTCTCATTTGACAGACGTTTTGGGCTAGAATCTTGGGGACGTGATAGAAAATCGTGAGGAGTAAGTGGACATAGACTCACCTAAAGCAGACAGTACGTAAACTAATGACTTGGGTATAGAGACTCGGGATGTTACAAAAAAACTCTGTAATGACCCGGGTTTTTATACCCAAGCCGTTAGCTTATTACTTATCCAATTAATATCAGGTTTTAACTTAAATCTCTTATTAGGTAGATATCTTAAGTTCAAATCCAGGGGGACGCGATAGAAAGCCGTAAGTGAGCATAAGCCCACCCAAAGCGAACAGTATGTAAGTTAACGATTTGGGTATGGAGATCTGGGTAGTCGTTACGAAAAAATACTCACGGCTTTCTATCACGTCCCCTAGGATTCAAACCCAATACCTTTGCCTAATTGGTACCAAGATTCAATTTAAGTTTATATAAGCTAACATGTTGGGTATAAAGACCCGGGTCGTTACACATGCTATATTTAAAAAGATTATAGTCTATTGATATTGTCACTCAACCACTTTCAACTTCTTGGTTGAGTCCCCCTTCATTCGACCTATTTTATGTTGGTGCTTACTCCTATTCAAGTTTTAGCAAATCGTTCTTTAGCTAGATTTCCCTTTGATTTGTTTTGGATTGGATGGTGGAAGAACCAACAAGCTACGACTTGAAATAATCAATACTTTAACAATATTCATATTACCTTTTCAATCTACAAATAAACTAGATCTCAGAAGAATATAGGTACCTAATAATTTACTTTAGTTCTTCTCTCTTCGTAGGTTTCACCGTGCATGCAAAGACTAGAAAGGAATTGTGAGCAAAATGAGAACTTTACACTCTTAGAGTGAAGAGTTTCTCCTTTTTTTGGCATTGTTTACTAAAAATTAGCGGTAGAAAGAGTGCCGTTTTAGAACATGGACAAATCATTAATTAAATCAAGATAACATGTTAGCACATGTGGGTTCATTCTAATAATGAGAGATGAGATAGCACACTCAATTCTACAATTTTTGTATTGAACTATGTTACATTCTATAGTACATACTGGAACCATGAATTTATGTATTCTGACATTATTACAACAACAAATTAAACTTGTTTTAAATAAATTTGAGGTTAACTATATGATTCTTTTTTCGTTACTCTAATAGGTTCATTGTTAGATCTATTAGGAGATTTAAAAGTTTTAGATCCTTAGGCCTGCTTGGGAGTTTCGGCGGACCGGTTATGAGCGTTTTTTAAAATATCGATTTTGAGCGTTTATGAGCGGATTGGTTTTAGTAGCGGTTTTTAAAACTGTCCAACCTATGTTTGGAGGTTTATTATCCATAGATTCTGAAAGTTTTTTAATAGAATAAAATTACATATCTGTTCGTTAGTAAAATAAGTTTATTGTTTCTTGTATGGAATTTTTTTCCTCATAAGTGATATTTTACTTATAGGTAATTTTTTTTACATATAAGTTAATATTTAACTTAAAAAATTAAATAAAGTTAAGCATTTACTTAAAAAATTAAGTTAATATTTTTTACTTACAAATAAAATTTACAATTATTAGTTAATTTTATACTTTTAAATAATTTTAAGTGAATTTTTTTACATTAAAGTGATATTTTTACTTATAAGTAATTTTTTAGTTATTATGTATTTTTTCTTATCTTCTGAGTAATATACTTTTAATTATAATGTAATTTTTTTGCTTATAAATAATTTTTTAGTTAATATTTTTTTATTTACAAATTAATTTTGAAGAAAATATGTTGGTTGGATATATTTATTTTGTAAAGGTAAAATTAGAAGAGAATATGAGAAACGGCTAAAACTTATCGATTTTGTAGGTTGAGAGAACGGGTCAAAATTACACACATTAATTTTGAGTGATTTTTAAACCATTCAAAACCGGTTCCTGAAAAACTATTAAGCACCGGTTTTTGCAACTCCTCATAAACGGTGCCACAAAAAATGGGTCAAAATCGGTGGAAAAAACTCCCAAACAGGCCCTTAATAATTGCATAAAGCTATGTTTATTTTGATCTATCCCCTTTTTATTTGTTCAACCAAAATCACATCACTTATAATTGGGGTTCTTTTTAGATCTATGCAAAGCTTGTACTGACCATTTATGTTGTTCCCATAATTTATCTTTAATATCAATTGGCACTACATCCACTTGTTGGCGTAGAATAAATTTCTTTTGGGTATTTTCATGGTTTAAAAAAAAAAAAATCCAATTGAAACCTGCCTTAAGGCTTGCCTCCGGAAAAAATTCTCAAGGCGCTGATTGTGAAGTAGTTTTTGGAGGTCTACCACCACCTCTGTCATTGTGGCACATAAAACATAAAAAATCTTATCGACCCATTTTTAGAATAGCCCACTACTCAATAAAACATTAAAAAGTTGTTTCTTAGTGGGAATATTCTCGTGCTTGCATTTTAATAATATTTTGACATTTTTTTTATTTTATACCCGAGTACTCGATTATACCTTTTTTAACACTGGGTATTTTTATTCTAATTAAGGATTTATTAATTATTAGGGCATTGATTGTACATATTTACATGCTGAAATTTAATGTTACACAAAAAAGATGACAATTGTAAAGAGAAGTCTTGAAACTTATTTAATTAGAGCCCCTCTTGAGCACATAATTTTGAATTTACAAATGCACTTGATGTTTGGAGGTTGTTAGATGGGGCAGAAGTGTATTAAACAAAAAATAGAACATATTTAGCCATTGTTTGACAACCATTAAAATGTTTTTTTTTTGTCTTCTGGGGGAAAATGAGTTTTTGAATAGTGATTTTTTTGAAAAATGTGTAATTAGGAAGTAGGAAAAATATTAGGTTTGCGTATAGAATATTTTATTGTAGAATGTATGGTTGAAATGAGTTTGATAAAAAAGGGTTTTGTTTTAATGATTGTCAAACAAAGACTTAAGTCTTTATTGACCATTCATTCCCTTTAGACCAAGAAAGAAATTTTCTAATTGGGTGGGTCCCATGAATTTGAGATGTTTGAGGCTTACGCCTTGAGGCACACCTCAAGTGAGGCTTTCATTAAATGCCTCAACACTTATTCCCTGAGTGCGATTTTTCAAGGCTTACACCTTGACTTATTGAGATTTACTCCTCAAGGCTAAGCTTTTTCATTACTAACCTAAGCTATTTGGGCTATTTTTTTGTAGTCTAATGTTTTACGCACTATTTTTCCTTCCTTACACATAAGGGAAGGAGAAGACATCATTGCAAGTGGATGCTAACAAAGAATAAAAAGTAACTACCAGCAATGAGGAGGATGATAAGGGGATCAAATATGTTGATTATTTCTCTTAAAAGTCCTATTAGCAATGATGATATGGGAGACTTCTAGGTTGTTTCCATTTAGTAGTTAACTATGATTTTGTTATGTGATTTCTAATTTGTCTATGAATTATATACTACTTTACCAATCCATTTTATGTTTGTTTGCACATTAGACTTACATTTGTTATTTTGTTTTATTATGGATTTTTAAGGTGGTTTATGGTTTGTTATGGGCATATTTTTGTATTTTCATATTGTTTTGTTTTCTTCTATTGGTTTGTCTTGATGCTGGTTTATGCATCGTCTCACTAAGGTAAGACTTCTTGTTACCCAATAGAATCTTTTTAAATATTGAGCATGAGATTGTGATTGTATATATCAAGATATCGGCGGTTAAATAATTTGCTTTTCAATGGTGCATTCTTAGTAGTTAAATGCACAGTCAACCTAAAAACTAGCCATTTAGTTTATTACTTGCAGAAGTTAGTAATGTAACTTTGAGAGTCATTTATTGATCTTTTAACCATTTACATTGTTGTTCATTTAGTTTGGAGCTGCTGCAACTTTAAATTGCGAGTTAGATTGTTCTTAAATGTGATATATCTTCCCTAGATTTGATCTACGTGCATTAAAAGTTCTAATTCTAGAAACCACAATAATTGGTATTTATGTCATTCACGGCCATCATTCATTACACCTTCGCAGTTTCCTGAAAAAAAGTTATATATGCTTTCATTACATCCTCTTTCCTGTATGTGGTGCAATTATCCTGAAATAATGGACTTGTCTCTTCCACGTTTGTGATTCTCTTGTCATTTTCGGCCTTGTGATCCTGTTGTGATGATTAGCCTGTTATTATTAGCCGTGCAATTCCTTGTTACTTTGTGATTCTCTTTTAGTCTTATAATTTGCTAGTGTTCTGATTTTTTTGACATTGTAACCACATGATTGCTTAAAATGTATACTAACTTTTGTATAACCGTACTTGCAGGTCAGAGTTATGCAACGATGAATACTCATTTTTGTACTACCATAAAAATGATTTACCCGCCCTTATAGATGCACTACAGTCATACCCATTTGTGAATGACACAATAATAACTGCTATTAGTAAGCATTGGAATGTCACTCATGGGGTTGATGGGTCAAAAACTGATTTGGATGCTCGGTCCTTCTCTATACAATCTCCTTTTCCTATAAAAGGGCCGCTGTCTCATATGCTTCCTACACCTTCAGAACTACATATCAAAGATGTTGTTACGGAGAGAAAGTCGGAAGAAAACTCCATTTTCTCTACTTACCCTAATAGCATAGAACCTGAGGTTCCTGACTGTGTCAATATGATGTTGGAGACTGATAACCATGGGACAAAGATGGAAAACCGATTGGCAAGTTCTGAAGGATCAGCCGAAGTCTCCCAAGCAGCGATTAACACTGATATTAAGGAAAGCGGGCAGGAGTGTTCAAAAAGAGGCATTGGGATATCATCATATGATTCTGATATTCCACCAAAGGTTGTGAATGCTGGAAACCATTATTTAACAGCTACTACCTTAGAAGTCGAACAAAAAATGAATCTCATTTCTGCAAATCATGGCCATGCACTATCCATCACAAAACCTAGCGAAGTTATGCCTGAAGTGCATTGTGGGGAAAATTATGTTAACTTTTATGAATTTGCCCGGACAGCATCATCAGTTGTTGAAGAGTTAATGCGTAAATCATCAGATAAGACATCTGAGAAAATCATAAGATCAGAGGAAGAGGTTATTACTGGGCAGCTGAAGGTTATATCAAGTAAATTTGCTTATTTACGCTGGCCAAATATTCATAGTTTGATTGCAAACAATAGGAAAGAAAAATGTGGGTGGTGCTTCACTTGCCAAGGTCCTGAAGAGGAAAGGGACTGCTTATTCATTATAAATGACAATGGTCCAGCTGTCGAAAACTTTACGAGTGAGGTTTTAGGTATTCAGTCTAGAAAGAACAGGAACAGTCATCTTATTGATGTCATGTGCCATATTATTTGCACTGAAGATCGTCTACAGGGGCTTTTGTTGGGCCCATGGTTAGATCCTCATTATTCTGAGGTTTGGCGTAAAAGCGTTCTTGGAGTGTCTGATGTTGCTTCATTGAGAAGTTTTCTGCTCAAGGTAAGAATATTTCCTCGTAGGATTGCTATCTGAGTTTATGTACATCCACAATGAATGTATATTTTAGTATGTTGACTGCCGAAGTGTTAAAGCCGAAAGATATTGTCGTCTTGATGAAATAGCTTGTCCTTTTGAAAATGATTGTCAGAAAGTATCTTTAGTTCACATGATAGTTCATCATCTGGCTCTCTCTGAACAAGGAACTTGTTAACCCTGTTAACAATACCCAACCATGTCAATTATCACACAGAAGAAAACTTTGGGGCATGTTCAATAAATTTTAGTCATGGAACAAAAATCTTGGGTTGCTTTGACAACTTGGAGAAGTATTTATTAACAAGAACGGGATGATGATATTCAATAAAGCAAACCATGATGTATCGTGTAGGTCTGAGCTTCTTTTATAGGGACAACAATAGCAACAGGCTGTACATTCTAACTGGCTTTTGCAGTAGGAGGAAAATGACCTGTGGCTGTTGGATATTGTCTGAAGTTCAAAATGTAAACAATGAATTTGATTATATGATACATTCATATGGAACTTGTGCTAAGTGCATTTTTGTCAACAGGTGATAAATTTAGAGGAAAAAAATAAAATTAGTAAACAAAAAGTTTCCTTGTTAAACCTAACTGATGGGGTATGCCCGCCACCCAAGTCTAGTAAATTTTGATAATATGAAATTTTCCTTTGACACTTTGAGGCTCAAGGGTGTAAAAATGTATTCATAAGTACACGTATATGCATACACCCCAATTCCAGGAAGATGGATAATGAAATATACTAACCTATTTCTCAGCTCAGAAACGTTGTTGATGGCCTTAATATGTAAAATTTTGCCATCTTAGGTTTCTAGACTGCAAAAGTACACTATGTTAAGGCTGTTTACAGCCCGGACAGTTTCTTGACTTAAAGCTGAATCAAGTAAAGGATGTATTTTTGATGAGTTCCTAAGAAATTTGTGGCTTTAGACTTGAGAAAGTTTGTTCCTTTTGTACCTATCTATGCCAAACAACCCCATTAGCTGTAACATCAATCTTATATAAGATGAATCTTTATCTTATCTTTGTGTTTCCACTATTTTCAGCTTTGAAACATTTATGTTTGTGTTTTCTATATTGCACTTCATGCTAGTTATCTGATTAGTTGCAACTTTCAACACCAGCTAGAGTCAAACTTGCATCTTCGAGCTCTTTCAGCAGATTGGCTAAAGTACGTGGATTCTGTTCCTACGATGGGTTCTGCTTCTCATGTTGTGAGGAATTCTGTACGCGTGTCTACAAAACATGGAATTGGAAGGAACAGAGCAAGGTGTTTGGAGCTGGATACAACTTCATCTTCAAGTTCTGCAAATGGGTTGAGCTTATTTTGGTGGAGAGGTGGGAGGATTTCGCGTCAGCTGTACAATTGGAAGGTTTTGCCTCGCTCCTTAGCTTCCAAAGCTGCCCGACAAGGTCTGAGAGTTTCTATTCTTCTGTTTTAACTTAGAATCAGTGGAATACTTAGTTTTCTAAATATGTTTGAAGTTTAAACTGTTGCAGGTGGATGCAAGAAGATACAAGGCATCCTTTACCCTGACAGTGGAGAATACGCAAAAAGGAGTAAATGTGTTGCCTGGCGAGCTTCTGTTGAGACATCAAGAAGCGTGGAACAGCTTGCTCTCCAGGCATGTCTCTCTTATGATTCAGTTTGTCCCCCATCTCCATTCCGTTATTTGCCGTCCATTAACCTTGTCCTAACAGCCAATTGGATGTAAAATGCTGACTGGCACCAAACTCTCTAAAAGGACTGCCTTTTCTCGACCAATTTATGGCATAGGAAAATTTGGTCCAACTGTCAAAGACCATCCCATATATGATAATTACTTTCATTTAGATTCCTTGTCTATATAATGAAAACATTCTCTGAACAGCCATTGACTCTACATTTTACCCCATCCAACAGGGGAAAAAGAACACAACAATATGCTTCGCAACTTAACTAAGTTATGTGTTGACATTTTTCATGTGCCCAGGTTAGAGAGCTTGATGCAAATATCAGATGGGATGACATTGGAAACCCGAACCTTGTATCAAAGACGGACAAGGAGTCCAAAAAGTCAGCCAAATTATTCAAAAAGGTTACTATACGTAGGAAGTGCTCCCAGGGATCGGTGGTTAGGTATCTTCTTGATTTTGGCAAGAGAAGATTTATCCCCGATATTGTTGTGATACATGGATCCATGCTTGAAGATTCCTCTAGTGGAAGGAAGAAATATTGGCTGGAAGAGTCTCACGTTCCATTACATCTCTTGAAAATGTTTGAAGAGAAAAGAATTGCTCGCAAATCCAATAAGACGTGTTCTGGAAAACTTTGTGAGAGCAGTATGGTAACTAATAAACCCTTCAAGGAAAAGGGATTTTCATACCTTTTCTCGAGAGCGGAGAGATTGGAGAATTATCAGTGCGGGCACTGTAACAAAAATGTTCTCATCAGGTATGATATGATTTTTAATTGTTAAAATCAGTATCTCTTTTAGAAAAAACAGGACTACCTTATTATCAAAGAAAGGAAAAATGCATGGCAGCAGAGAACAAGCTGTTCTTAGATATCAGGACCCTTCTAATGGTTCTATAGATGAAGATGGGCCGTACCATTTATTCTATGGGGGTCTGGGAGAAACGAACATGAAAGGTTACATTTAAACTGTTGCAATTTCTATATGCTATAGTAGCTCAAAGTAAATCAAAAGATACCAAAACATATGCAGACACTTTTGACTGTGCAGACTTACTTTCTAGTTGTAGTTTTACTAAATGGTTTTAGTCATTCTTATTGATATTTTCTTTTGTGAGGTTAGATAATGTGTTCCAAAATTTTACTGTTGGACATGTGTGATGGTGTACCCACATTGGCTTTCTTTATGATAGATACATGAGTTAACATTGATGCGAGGTTATTTGTGCATCCATAAGCTTTTCCTTTGATGTTGCAAATCATATATGTATTGGTCCAAAAGTAATATGTATATGCGTTCATTAATTTGATAAGTATTGGAGCTGTATCTATCTTTGTTTGCTTATGAATCTTTTTTTGGCCTCTGAATTTGCAGTCTAGTGATCAGTTTTCTTTTGTCCATTTGCAGGGAAGCAGTGAGTTGCCAGTACTGCAAAGGTAAACTGCTCGTTGACTAAGAGTTTCTTATCAGTGGCTTCTGTGTTTCTTCAATTATCACTATATTGCAAAGACAAATCCATTGTTGCATCTGCCTTTCTATGTCCTCGTCATTGTTTGATTCAGCATGTACGAGAAAGGAATTCGAAGTATTTGGCTTGCACGATTGAGTTATTTAATTTTGGCATTTCTTTTTCACTCGAGCACACTTGTTAATCACTATAAACTAACATTTTTATACTTTGTAATTAAATAGAGATTATCTCAACTGTTCATTTCCTTTAGACCCCTGAATGATGATTGTCTTGGACTGGAGCAGTGTTCTGACCCATACAGTCCTATTAATTGACCAAGGGTCAATGGATTTATTGCTTTATGTTCATTTTGGAACTGAAATTTTTGCTACCTGCAAGCAGGAGTAGTTATAGAATACTGTCAATGAATATACCTGGACTGTCAATTCAATGTAAGTGTGTAGCATTTGCTATATCTCCACGTGTTATTATTTAACAAATTTGACCTTAAATATTGAACTGTTTTTTCAGAAGTTTTTAATTTCATATGCTATGATCTTGGTTTGGCTTTGCTTTTGAAGGTTTGGTGCTTGATGGCCTTAAAATTTGTTAGTGATTTTTAAAGTTGGTATAAAATTGATGGTGGTTGATGTTTGTGCCTACAAAAAGGTGCCAGTAGCAGTTGGGTGGTGCTGCGGTGATATCAGGAAATAGTAAAATAAGGATATAAATTGGGGTTACAGATGTGAATTTGTATCTTTGTGGATTGAACTAGTTTTTAATTTGAAATAGTGGATATATTAACTTGTTTGATTCATGCGACGTCCCGTGATATATGAATTATTTCTAAACAGCACTAACAAATATCAACTATACTTGAATGGATTTTCAGGCTTTTTCCATAAAAGGCATGCAAGGAAGTCTGCTGGCTCCATCATCTCTCAGTGTACATATACATGCCATAAATGCCTCGATGGGATGTCCGTAAAAATAGGCACTAAGAAGGGGAAGTCTGAGCCACCAAAAGGTAAGAAAGTATCAAAATTATTGAAGCCGTTGGGCTCCAGAAAAGGGAAAAAGTTGTGCAAAGGCAGGCAACGAGTGCAAGCACAAAAGAATAAAAAGGTTCAACTGGTTGTACCCCTGCGCCGTTCTGCCAGGCATGCTAAACCTGTCGTAAAGACATCCTTGCTTGATACCAAGATTAAAAAACAGAAGAAAAGAAAACAAGCTAAATCAAAAAAAGAAAAATTGAAGAAGCCAGACAAACTGAAGAAGCCAAAAAATAGTTGTTGGCAGAAGAAGAGAACCCCGGTCAGTTATAGTTACTGGTTGAATGGCGTTCAATTGTCAAGAAGGCCAAATGATGAAAGGGTGATGCTTTTTAGAAGTAAATTGCTTCTTGTCCTTTCTGGAGAGTCGCCTTCCGTCGCCTGTACACCAAAATGCAGTCTTTGTGGTGAATTAGAATTCAAATCTGAGCTTAATTATGTTTCTTGTGAAATTTGTGGAGGTAACTATCTTTACACTTGATTTATCTCTACTTCTACTAAATGAAAAACATACGCTGCGGAAGACGAATATTTCCTCCATCTTGAATTAACTGCTGGCTGACACAAATCATTTTTAGAGTCCTTGCCTATATAAGAATAAACCTTAAAATTCTTGATAGATGATGGTTTCATTTTTTAATAGAAGTTCTGTATGCACGACTCATGTTTGGCACAACCAGCTCAGGGAAGAGTCATTCAAATTTATTGACTATAACTAGTTTACTATTCAATTATTTTTTTCACAATTTGCAGATTGGTTTCATGGAGACGCTTTTGATCTCAAAGCTGTTAGAGTTGAAAAGCTCATCGGGTTTAAGTGCCATAAGTGTCTCAATAAGAGCTCTCCAGTTTGCCCCTATGTTTGTGCTATTGGAAGCAGCAAAGCTGCCCTTTTCCCAGAAATTAATGTGGAGCCTGACTGCACCGGGAAAGAATCTACTTGTCTATCCCTCTTGGATGAAACATTTGCAGATCAGAAACTACAGTCAAATGAAATATCTAATGATCTGTTTTTTATTGATGGCAATCATGAGAAGCAATCATCAGTGCCAATTCTTGATTCAAACCAGATACATGCAAGTGATGCAAAAGTAGGACTTTTAACTACTACGACAGAGGAGAAAACGGCAGGTGTCAACTTCAGCGAGGAAGGAAAACCACCTGATGAATTGGTACCAACGGAAGACCTTGCTGGAAGCTGACCATGGGAAGAGCCATGGGAAGAGCCAAGTTTACATCATTGATGCATGACCATTTGAAGAATGGTTTGATAAACAATAGCCTTCTGTAATCTGTAGTCAGTAGAACTCTTTCTGACTTATCCTAGTTGTCCCCATAAACAATTTTTGGTATTCAGGTGATGCCATTTGTGGTGGGAGAGAAAATAGATGATTTTGTAGTTTACTTTTCTTTATACAAGATATTGTGCTATACAATAGTTACAACCTTTTCGTGAATCTAGCTAAAATTTTAAAGCTTCATTCAAATGATTCACTTCAAATTAGAGCGAGCAAAGAATTAATTTGTTGCTCCTATTCTTCTTCGAATATTTATTTTGATAAGTCATTATTGCCATGTCTGGAGCTGAAGAGAAAATGATTTAAATGAGTGCATGTAGTCTTTCTTTAACAGCTTAAGCTTTTAGATTAGATGGTTCAAAATAATATCAATGCATGGCAAAAGACTGGTTCAACTCTTGTCGCCAGCATTTAATGAAAAATTGTGCATGAATGAGACATTTGATAGAAAATGAATGCGGTCTGCACACGAGATCTGTGCTGAAGAAGAGAAACAAATGAGTACATGTGGCCCCTCGTTAACAGCTTAAGCTTGAAGACAAGACATCTGGCATTATTTGTCTCGTGGAAACTAGCTGCTGGTATATTCTGCATCAGGTACTTGGCACATGGTATGTTGATTCTTTATTATTGACAGACATGGAGGATCCATGATTAAATTTGTTGTGCTTTTCATCATTTCAGGTGACAATTTTATTTTACTGTTTCTGGTACCAACTTGATTGATGAAGTGTATGTGTTTAAATTATTCGACTTGATTCTATTATCCAGAATCTTAAAAGGATTTGCTTTTAGTAGTTCTCCACTATTGTTATGAGGATGTACCTGAGTCCTTCAATAATTTAACAGTGTTAGTGATGGAGATTAAATGGATATTTTGAAAGACTTGCCAAAAACTGTGTGGTTTTTGGCAAAAGAATAAGATGAAGAATGCGATCTATAATTTGATTGATTTTCGAGTATTTGATTCATTTCCCTTCCTTATCATTAGGTTAAATTAGGAAATTTTCCCTTCTTCACTTTGGATTTTAAAGCATAAAGAGTGGGGATTTTGTATTAGACATACTATTGCTTATAGAAATCTGCTTCTTCCCTCTTTCTTTCTCCCTACTCCTCTGTTGTTCCCTCCCTTCTTATCTATATTCTGGTGTCCTTGTACTATGCTGTATCGATTACTCTCTCTTTGGTAAACCAAATTCTTCTTGATCTTAGTTATAGAAATTCACAAGTTTAAATTCATTTCAAAATATGGAGGGTGGATACAAATTTTGTAAGGCAGCAGTAATAATCATTTTTATGGCATACCTAATTCTCTTGTGATCGGAATAATTTTTTTTTAAAAATCCTTTTGTGGTTGAATTTTTTTGACGTCTATGTCCTAACTTGTTGCACTTGCAGTTGTTCTCAGAATGCAGTTGTTCTTGTACTCTGATATCAAAGTGTGCTTTAAAATAATTTTCCCTTTATTAGGTACTTATATATGCTCAGTAAATATGAGATGTATTTGTTTGAATGGCATCTCAACGAAATATTGTGTTGTGTAACTAACATTTTCTATTTGCTTCCTAACCGTGATTTTTCAGTTATATATCCTGTGAACATTGTAACCAGTGGTGATATAAACTTTTGGGGTCTTGCAAATGAAATGGAGACTCTGTATTGTGGACGTTGAGTTGGGGATGAAGTTTAACATGAACGCTTGAGCATGTTTGGCTATGCTTACAAGTAAGTCCCAATTACTTTTTGAGTTATTTATTTGACCTAACATGATTTCTTTTAGTTACTTTTTTGAACTGACATAACTTTTCTGCAAAGTGGCCTTTACTTTCTAGAAGTGTAAATTTTAAGCAAGACGCATGCTCAAATCAAGTTCGCTATTAGATTGTAGCCGCGAAATTGATGTGCCAGCAAATATTACCATGTTATTTTGAGTTGCTTCTTTAATGTGAATTCCGCCAATTTCAGTACACAACGCTGTTGCAGAAATTTAGGATACTGATAAAAATTAAACGTGGAGCTAGTTAGCAAGAGATCAACAACTAAAGCAAAAGTATCATCTGCTGTTGCTTTCTGCTAAAGGTTGTATTTTCTTCCTTGGTCATTGTTTTCATTGTCAATATACACAAAACCATGAATATGATGCTTTGAAGGTAACTGTCGACTATCATGCCCTGAAATTCTCGAGGGGTTTGCATAGGTGTGTTTGATAACGGGAAAGAGCAGTGCTCCCATTAATTTAGATTTTAGCTATTTGCAGGTTTTTCCGTGATAGTTTCATTGGGATTTAGAATTACTTCATCCGTTGGGAAAATAAGGGAAGAAGGGGAAATGAGTGAAGACTCACTCAGCTTGTTTTCAAGAAAGACCTATTTACTTCATCTGTAAACTGATTTATTTTATCTATCGTTTGAACTCAGGTATGGATTCGGCATCTCTTTACTATTTGACTGGAGAAAACATTTTTTCCTGTGTATCCTTTCCTATTATAAAAAAAGGAACAAACTGATATGATATTTTCGGCACATTTTTGTTTAATTTCTTTGGCCCATGTACCACTTCGGCGTGCATTCAAGATTTGGGTAATTGAGTAGCAGAAGTAACATTTTCCTCTTATTGTAACAATAAAAAAAATATGAAACGAACAGCAGGGGAATGCAATCTAATTCGACATTCCTTCCCCTTAGAACTAAGTTGTTGTACAAGAAATCTATGCACTCGGCTTGTATAGTTTCTCGACCATCTTCCTATACTCTGCAAAAGGGGGAAAATGATAGATTTAGATTTACATTCTTAACAGCAATTCCAAAAATCATAAACTTAGGAATAGATGTATCGCGATACCTTCTTGATTTCCCCAAAGAGCTGCTGCCTGAGTATTTAGAGGCGAGCTCGTATTAGGCTCTACAAAAACAGCACGCCCATCAAGAACAGTCATACGGTACTAAACATGACTCGACTCTATAATTAAATCAACATCAAGATTTACCTCCAAGCAGACTTTGAATTGACAGCAAGATTGTCCTTACATCATATGCAGACGACCACTTATCCTATGAAAATTGAAAGAATAAAAATCAGATATATATGCATTAAGCTTTGCAACTAGAAAATCGAATAGATTATTCGATATTAACCTGTAATATGTCCAAGCATATGTTCCCGTACAAATCAACATTGGGATGAAAGCAACTGGTCTCAAATTTAACCTTCGGGGGCTTGAAAGGATAGTCGGGGGGGAATGAAAGGGATAACTTGTACTCTGTTCCTTCAAACACAGTATCTTTGCTGCCAGTTATAGTACCTTTCCAGCAGAATATGTTGTCTTCCTCCGGGAATGCGGATATTCCTGAATCTCCACCCATCTATAATATTTCGAGGGTCGGGAAAAAAGATTAAAAGGGGCAAAAGCAGAAATGGAAAAATGAAGGTACTGAACAGTTCTCACCATCAGGGCCATTAACTCTGATTGCAGCCTGTAGTTGAATCAAGAACTGGATTTTAGAATTGAGATTATGACAGCAAAAATACAGAGAAATACACGAGAAATAATAATAATCAGAAGTCGACCACCAAACAATATAAGGCATGTTTTGTAAGCTTGACTGCCCTCACATGCATCTCTTCTTTAATTATTTCTAGTCCCGTCGAATTATTTAATAGTTGGAAGCCATTGGCAATTGTACTATCAATCCTCTCTCTTCGATCTTCAATAAGCATGACAAATAACAATCAGAAGTTGAACACCAAACAATATTTAAGACAAGTTCAGTAAACTCGACTGTCGTTACACACATCTCTTTTCTAATCATTTCTAGTCCTATCCATTTGTTTCACTTCGATCTTCGAAATACACGATAAATAACGATCTGAAGTCGAACTCCAAACAATTTAAGGCATGTTGCATCTCTTATTTATTCATTCTATTCCCGTTTAACTGAATCCACCATACATCAATCTGAGCCAAAAGAAAAAAAGGAAGGAAAAAAGCCCCAAAATAATCATCAAATCTGGATTTCCGTTAAAAATATTAGGCAGCAATTCAAAAACCCAAATCAAGAAACGAAATGCTTTCAACCATAAAAAGCAAGAAATACGTTTTTTAGGTTTAAATTCCCAAAAGTGGCCTCAAAAGTATTAAAACATTAATAGCATTATTTAAAAAAAAAATAATGATAATAAATATGAGCCTCCATATAGGAATCAACTCAATATGAAAAGCAAGATTAAGAAATTTCAAGAAGTGAATTTACATATACCTTTTAAGAACAGACTGGGTATCGGCGGTTTTCACAGCGGATACAGACTGCTTCACCGCTGTCACCGGCGGAGCTGCTGCGGCGGCATGGGTGTTGGGGTGGTTAGTATTGTTTACTGTGGCCATCTTTTCTTCTCCTCGAGGGTTTCGATTTCTTCCCTATAATCCAGAAAGAAAATTGATTAAGGTAACGGTTTCAATTCTTCAAATAGCGAGATTTTGTGCGAAGAGAAGAAGAGGAAACAGTACAAAACTAAGAAATGGAGAGGGAGAGAGGGAGAGAGAGAGAGAGAGAATGCGTGATTCAAAATGGCGTTGTATCAAATTTAAGCACTTCAACAAATTTCGAACGTTGTAAGGTCGTCACAACGGCTAGTTTTTCTTTTTGGGCTTTATTCCGTTGATCCAAAGGTGGAACTCTTGGATCAGGGTAATGAAGGGTGGCTGGGTCGGGTCAGTCCAATTGTGGCTTTCAGTTCTCTCTCGATAGAAAATCAACTAAAACGTAGCTGAATTCTGTCTGAACCCGAAAAAAACTTTTTAGTAAGAGTAGATGATTAACGAAAATATGAACAAAACTCAAAGAAAACGAAGTATGATACAACCGGAGATCCAATGTCCCTTCCACCAATTCTGCTACACTTATATCTTTGATTGACAGCTTCATTTATATTCCATGATGTGATACAATTTGTCAGTATGTTTGTTGTGCATTATTTGTCTGACAAAATGAGAATTGTAACCGATGAGATCTCACTTCAACCACTTTTTTTGAATTTTCATCTCTATGGTAGGGCCCAGGTTGGCCCACCAAAGGTCAAAAAAATTCTAAGAATGAAGGAAAAAATGGCAAACAAACAGGGGCTTAAAACAATCAAAGACCTTGATTTTACCACATTATGGGCGTACAACTAGTTTAATTCCCCTTCCACGCTAGATAAAGAGGAATGTCTTGCACTCAATTCAGTGTTTTAATTCCATGCATCTAGTTTTCACTAGGATGAGTTCAAGCCCCATTTCCCAATGGCTGGCCTCTCTAGGCAGGGTGAGTTGCCTTCTTTTTTTTCATCCTAGGTAGAGCTTCTTCGGACCTATTCGAAAAAAGGAACTTGAGAAAAGCTAATACGAAAATGAGTCATTTTGTATTAGACCTCCATGACGCACTTCAATTTCAAATCATGCTTCTTTTCAATCCCAACATTGAATCAATGGATTTTCACTGCCTAGGAAAACATAATATGAACCGTTACAATGATACTGAAGGGGAACAATAGTAGTTAGTAAGACTTTACAAGGAAAAAGGAGCAAAATGGCACGGTTTTTAGCGGGGCATCCCATTCTTCATTTCTTCTTGCAGTTGGAAATACGGGATGAGGATGTTGGGAAAATTATCAATTTTTCATGTGGATCGACATATGTAATTAATTATATATAAAATCTATCTTAAAGTTAAGCTCAATTAAAGTGATCTAATAAAGAATTAAAATTATGGACTTTGAACATCTAAATAAAATAAAAACGTGATGCCGATAATAAAAAATGTATTGTAAGTATAATTACCCCATTGAAAAAAGGGAGTTTAAACTTCAGATCTTGCTACATATATGTCAAGATTTACGTTACGTCAATGTGTACCAAAATTGGGAAAATTTCACTAAAGGTCCTGAAACATATGAATTACTACATATTGACCACCAACTTTAATCAATTTCAATTTTAACGAAGAATTAAAACCCTCAATCCTCACTCGAAAACCAAATTATCTCTTCTCAAGTACAATTCTAAAGCAACAATGGCAAACGTGGAGGCGGAGGCGGTGGATTTCGAGCCGGAGGAGGATGATCTGATGGATGAGGACATAGGAGACGGCAACGCGTCATCCCCCAACCGCGGCGCCAATGTTCCTCGGCTTAAGTCTGCCATCACCGGCGGCTTATCGTCAACTGCTCCTAAGAAGACAAAGGGCCGCGGCTTCCGTGGCGAGGCCTCGACTGAGGCCGAACGCAACGCTCGTATGTCCGGCCGCTTTGACTCTCTCGACTCCGACGGTGGACCCGGGCCCGAACGATGTTAGTATCCAAAACCTAAATCACTCTTCCTTTTATATGCATATTGTTTTTCCACCTTTTTAAATTTTTTGTTGATTGAAACTGATGTCAAGGGTTAATTAAATTTTGAAGAGTATTATTTGTTCTCTTTTGTTTGACAAAATAATGCAAATGAGAAATAATGTTTTAAGAAACTGAGGTGCGAACTTGTACGTGCGAGGTTTCGTTAATATTTTCGTTGTTTTGTCGTGTGAAGTTCGGTGGCTTTAGGCTGAGCGAATTGAAGAAGACTAAGAAATTTAGAGTAAATATGTATAATTTGGTTCTTTTTAATGATTTTGCGTGTTTCTAGGGTTTTATCTGTTATCATTTTTTATTTATTTTTTCCTTTTCTTATTGAAGATATGTTTCAGTAGCTGAATTAGTTGGAAATAGAGACTGGGCTCTGTGTATTCTGTTTCTAGTTCTATGCTTCTTTTATGCGAATCCTAATGTCTCATTGGATTTTAAGAAAAAAAATATTTGTATTTAAATGAAAGTGTACAATTTGTTTTTTTGGGATATAAATTATTGAAAATTACACTTATTCATGTCTTCTTGATTTATTTCCAGTTGCGTAGATCTTTCTAATTATTATCAAGGAGTATGATTACTGTTTGAGAACTCGGTGCCTGCAGACTGAATTTTGACACCCCTGCTAATATCTGCAAAGTTGAAGTTCTTTAGTCCCATCTGGACAGCTTACTGCCGTTGATGAACATTAACTGCTGAATTATGTTAGAATATTTAATTGAAGAGAATGAAGAACGTGAAATATTTATTATTATTATTTTTTTTTGTTATGCTACATGTACATAATTTTTTACACTCCACTAACATTAGGAGGTGGGGACCACAAGCCGACCTTTTTTAAAGCACATGGGGTCCGCGCCCCATGTGAGAGAGGGGGGGGGGTGACACCATTCGGTTATCCCCCCCTTGGTACAAGGGGAATAACCCTTTTTTTTTTGTGTGTGTGTGTGTAATAAATTATTGCCATAATATTGGAGATTTTCGTATTGTACAATCATTGTTAGATATCAATCACCTGTTTTAAAATGCAGAGTGATCAAGCACTCTATATCAGATTCCATCAATTTCTTGTGATATAGAGATAGTATATGTAGAATTTCAGGATTTGAAATTGGGTTTGAATTCGTGCAGCAATTGAAGGGTGGATTATTCTGGTTTCTGGAGTTCATGAAGAGGCACAAGAGGATGATCTACAAAATGCATTTGGTGATTTTGGGGAGATTAAGAATTTGCATTTAAATCTTGACCGGCGTACGGGATTTGTCAAGGTGATCTAAATTTTCCCTTTGAGATAGCTGGACAAAGATTATTAGCTAGACAAGCCTATGTATGATCATCTTGTGATTGGCCTGTCATGAATTGAATTTGATAAATGAAGAATCCACTTTTGGGCAACCTTCTCAACAACCAAGAGATTCAAAACAGGCAATATATAATTTACAAAAAGACTAGTACTCATTATTAACCTCATACCACGTCTTCTTTTGGATGAAAGAACATTGAACTAAAGATAATCTTGCAAAGAAAAAGAAAGGAATTTATGCTAGTAATGAAAGTGGACCTATAAAAAATCAAAAGAAAAACTGGAAGTCATGATGTGATTGGACACAGCCAGCTTTCGTAGGATGCTTAAAGCTCCTGTGTCACATAAAATCACATATTCCCCTTTCAGGATCTTTCTTATATTTTTAAATAGCAGCTTGAAATAACTTCCACATAATTTTTGCAATATGTGTATTACTTTAACTGGGCCTTAGGATGAGAGTAAAGATAGTTAAATAAATTTGTTACCACGGTAAGAACATTAGCAAACATGCGCTTAAATAAATGGATACTGTCTATTTCATTTCTTCTATCATTTGGAGATGCTGTCAGTCTTTTGTCTTTTGGTATCAAGACATTGATTTGTGAATTCTTGTTGAACAATAGTCTGTGTAAAAGAAACTGAGCTTGTCATTTATTATTTTAGTACAAGTGCACCTCCGTTTGCTGTGGCTTACTGTTGGGTAGTTTTAACTAACTTGACATATTGACCTGTCCATTAGGGTTATGCACTAATTGAATATGAGAACCTTGAGGAAGCACAGAAAGCTATAAGTGAAATGGATGGGACAGAACTGCTCACTCAGGCCATAACCGTTGATTGGGCATTCAGCAAAGGTCCGTTCAGGAGGAGGAATATGAGGAGGAGGTACATGTTCATGAAGTCTCATGTATTTGTTCTTGTGTTTGTCAGTATTGCATTCTCATAATTGTTCAAACTTCAATTGGATGCCTTATTTGACTTTGCTCATAGTCACTGATGATAAAATTGGAGAACATAAGTATCTCAAGAGTTTCCATAACAGGCACCCTCTTAGTTCCCATCAAAGGACGCAGTACCAACTCTTAGAAAAAATGTTTTGGCTGAGGGGCAAAATGGGAATGAAAGCACGTACTTCAGAAAAATAGAAGAAAGAAGTGAACATAGTCCTAGGTCATTCCAAATGGAATGGAAGAAAATTGGTTTTATGTGGTCTCTATTGTTAACAATTGGGTTTTTGGAAAATTGATATACAAAGTGGAAAGAGATGACTGCTCAACCTTACAGAGAGTTGAAATTTACTCTGATGATTCTATTGATAAAACATGCCTGAATCTTAGATCTTCACATTTGCCCAACTCCTTTATTTGATTAAGGATATGGACATTATGTAATGATGAGATATGCCATCAGTTATCTGTTGTTTGATGTGTACATTTTCCTTTTCAATTTTAAATGCCATCACGAGTTGTTTGTTTATTTATACTTCGCTGGAAAAGTAAATGTAATAGGGGAATAGGGGATTTTGCTTTACAACTAGTTGTTATTGTCAAAATATGGCATCAAAATGGATTTAGAACTTCTGTATTATCTTGAACGAATGATTCAGTAAACGTGTAATAGTTTAATAGATGCTGTTTATTTCAAAAAGTTTATAGAAGGGATGAAAATCTTTCCAAAAATTTATGGCCATTCCAACATCAACCCCTCGGGTCCCTAAAAAGGACAGATACATCCACATGTTAGTATATGCTAATATATTTTCCAGATAGACCTGGTTGGTGGCAGCAAAGTTGAATAGCTTCAATAGAAAGGGTAAACCACATATTTGAAGATGGCGAATGAGAAGCAACTATGAGTGCAGTGTTTTTTACAAATTTATTTTCTTGATGAGAATCCAAGTCACTTCTCATTTTACAGTTACATAATCTTGTCCTTTTTAAACTATTTTTGCAGATCACCTCGCGGCCATCGTTCAAGAAGTCCTAGGAGAAGAGTCTAATGTTATTAGCAGCTTCTGAAGAATTGTGGATTTCTAGTGTCGAGAAACAGTTCTGATAGTTGTGGATCAATGCTAAAATTTAACCATGTATGATTATTGTTTTTGACAAGGATTTGTGTTTCCTTTTGTTGTTTCTGACAAAGAATTGTATTTCCTTTCCCCGTTATATGGATAACTTATCTTGCTATGGAATGTCGTGTGCTCTTTCCATTGAGCTTTTGATTCAGTTGGGAGCCTGGCGCGGCGCATGTTGAATGTACTCTACTCAGTATCTGTGAAAATGACTGTTGCTTTTATTTAGCAAGGATTAAGGCTTGTTTGGCACGGATTTTTCTAAAGTCATTTTTCTCCAATATCGTTGTCCCCACAAATTTATGGGACTTGTAACTTTTTTCACACACTCCAAAAAGTCATTTTCACTTCAAAAAAAAAAAAAGAGTGCCAAACATGCTTTTAGTGTGCATATCTGAATCCATGCTTACCTAGCCGACAACTATAGTTAATATCAGCAATTTTCATTGGCGTACTACTTGTTCTTTGATATGGATAAAATCAGATTGATGCTGAGATATAGGTTCCTAATACGTGCACTACATAATAATTAATTAGAATATGCTCCTTAAGATTCAACAATGCACTCAAATTAAGAGCAATGGGTTGGATAAACTTTAGCAATATCAATATGGATAACCTACATAAACGAATACATACACTAATGTTATCACTTATCATCCAAGAGGACCAAGACCCATAGCTCTGAAACTAATTTACACACATCTACTAAGAACTATGTTAGAACCCAGTTTCTATACTCCGAAGACTACATTAAATTTAAAGGTGATCACTAAAGAAGTCGACTGGATCTACATCACCCAAATGTACAACAGAAGTGTGCCGTAACATTCATCAGGGGATGCAACCTTCCCAGGATCAAGAGCTCAAGGGCTGGAAAGATTCCTGAGGGCATCCTCTGTCGCATACCAACTTGGTACTATTCTTGAAGTGTACGGATAGAGATCCTTGTATGAATTGCGAATCGTGCCTTCTGCTACTCCTGTGGCCAGTGTAATATCTGCACTAAAAGCATGTCAGGAAAAGGTTAAAGCATGTCAGGAAAAGGTTAGATTATAATTTAATTGGTTAAACACAATAGGACCCACAACTTACTACTACTTATTATCCACACATTCCGTAGGCCTCGAATCTTATAAACATTTAAAAGCACTACCAAACAAGAACTAAGCTTGCTCCGAAAAATTTAGCTGTCGGTTATAAGAATCTTTTTTCTCCATTACATAAAGTTAATTATTAAATTACTGGGAAATCTAAAGAAACTATATATTCACAACACCACGTGAAGATGAAACTGACCAAATAGAATGTTCTGACCTTTGAGAAGTTTCTTGTCATCTGAGAGTTGAGTTATTATGTATATCACTGCAGCTGCTATGGATATGGGGCTTCTCCTGTAACACAGAAAATGGAGAACTTACTTCTTAATCGTGTAAAATTTCCGACTTTCGTGTTCGTATTGGATATATGACGTCATTTTCAAGTTGTAGCCTGTAGGCCAAAATGTGATCAAGAAAAGATGGCATCTGATGTGTCTTGCTACTAACAAACAATTTGCTGAAAAAAATTTAAAGCAAAACAAGAAGGGAAAACTGAAAGAACCTTATATCCAGCTCTTCTGATTTTTGTACTGCTTCTTGAGCAGCTTTGACAGCTAAATTGGTCATGCCCAAATGCGAGCAAAAACGTCTCTGCAATACAGTGAGATTTGACGAGAGAATGCATTTGTGTGTGCTTTGGTGTCTTCTTGAGAAAAAAGGGGGACCGGGGATGGGGCATAAAGTGTTCAGTTCAAACTCACCAAAAAATCCCCTGCATGAATTGTTCCCATCTCCATAGACTGGCCCATTTCGATCTCCAGCTGTTTCACAATGAACTCTTTAGCTCGACCAATCTCCTTTTTGGTGGCTCCATTGGCCACATAACAAATTTCTGTTTGCAAGCCATGTGCACAGAGATATTAACAAAAGTCAGTCAAGTGAAAAGCTAAATTTCCGGCCATTACAGCATACCTTTTACAGTACGTGGCTTATCCTCTTGTCGACAAGCAATGTAGATGCACGCAGCCAAAATAGCATCTTGATTTCGTCCTCTAAGAGGCTTTTGATCTTCTACCTTCTTATATATTTCATTTGCTCGATCCTTAAAACCAGAGTCGTAGGTAATCACGGGTTCATGTATTTTAAACCAGCAACATCCCCAAAATATCAAGACAAAATCAATTGCTAGCAATAACAAAACTACTAAATCAGTCAAATCAACTAGCCACCTTAATGTTCCGAATAATGCTATTCATGTAGAGTGATGGTTATCATTAGTCGCTGCTGCCACATTGCCAAATGAAGTTCGAATGCATTTATCTTCATTGGACAATGTGGCAGTCGGCCACTGCCCACTATCACATAGACTGATGAAGATCATCTCGATCAATAGCATTACTCAATTTTCCGGGGCAAATGACTTCATTAAGGAACATACATATTTATTCAAGTTTGCCATATCTTACGAGTTGAATCCTGCTCTCCCAAAGTTGCTATCCTCCCAATACATTTTTGACACCTCGACACATCACCTTTTCTTAGCAAAGCATATGGGAAGACACTAAGATTAATGTGCAGAGTTGTCAAAAATGTATTGGGGGGGACAACAATTCGAATCAGCAGATATAGGCCCATCTTAAGAGATGATCTCTCCTTGTGGCCATAGGATTTCATAGTTTCACTAGTGGGGTGTGAGCTCTATGAAAATAAATTTATGAAATAAGTGTTGGGTCATTCAAGGACAAAATGTCTATTATATCATGGACACAAAAATGAATAACATAAAATACAGATATATGGCAAAAAGTGGACGTGGTGTGGCATTCATTTTGATAAATTATTGAATGCCAACTTACATGGTCAGAGCATGGTTTGTGTAGACCTAAAAATGCTTCAATCTACTAAAATGTAAGGGTGCGTTTGATTGCCAATATTTCCTATGAAAAAATGTATTTTTCACATAATTTCTTACTTTTATGCTGTTTGATTGACAAATTTTTCCAAAAAAAAGATATATTTCTACTTTTGGTCAAGTGACCATATTTTCCTTGAAAACAAGAAAAATATATTCTTTAGGGAGATGTGGTTTTTATTTTCTAGATAATTCACTCTCTTTTTCTCTCTCTCGTCTACCTACCAATAAAAAATAGACAAGTATAATATTTTTTTAAGTTAAAAACTAAATCAATCAAACACATTTAATTAATAATTTTCATACAAATAAGTTCTAGGCAAATGAATTGCTTAGAATTTATATTTTATTCATACAAATTTCATGCTCGCAATCAAACGTTCCCTAAGTGTTCTAGTTTAAGCAGTAATCGAGCAAAGTTAAGATATCAACACGATTCCACATTGCAAAAAAATTGAATTTATTGGTCATTCCGTATTTGTAATGCTTGATATATATAAATAAAATGATTCATGTAAACGATTCCAAGTTACAAACACATACATAACCACAACACCAAGAAAAAAAAAGCGCGCACACACAGAGAAAAGCATGTCTGAATTCAACTGCAATAATCAAAATAAAGAAAAGTATGTACCTTTATGGTTGCAACAAGACCCAACCTGAAAATTGAAAACAAAAATATTGAAAAATTCAGAATTTGAAACAACAAAGCTATAAGCATAAAAACCCTTCTATTAAAATGTCCAAAAACAAAATTTTAAATGTTTAGCCCCATAAATTATGAAAAAAAACCCAAAATATACCGAATTAACATAATACAAACCTATCAGCCATGGTAGCAATAGTCTTGAACGCCTGAATGAGAGACCGATCCGGGTTCGACCCACGGGTCTGCCACCGACCCAACGACGAATTCAAATACTCACCCGTTGACCCATTGGGCTTCGAAATCACCGTCGAAAGCCCACTATCACCCAGCAACGGATTATTCGGCCCACCTACACGGACCGGGTCACTATCCCCGGCCTCATTCGCAAAAGTTCTCCACTCCGAGGTCTCGTCAATGGAGTGCGCCTCCAGAACCAGGCCGCACTCCGAGCACACGGTGTCGCCGGCTGAGTGGTCGAACACCACTTCCGTCGGCCGTTTACATTCTGAACAGTAAATATCAGCCATTTTGGACAAAAATCTCGAAAAAAATTTATATCGACACAATAAACCAGTAGAGTACGAATTTTTCAAAAAATTAAAGTTCTATGGACAAGAGCAACGTGCATGGACGAAGTCATCTATGGAAGAATTTTGGATTATTATTATCATTTTGCTATTTTTGGAGAGAAGAAATGTAGAAACTGAAAGTGCGTGTATTATCCGGTTCGGAAATCGACACGTACTGTCGGGTTTTATCAAGATTTGCCACGTCACTGGGAGGATTTTAGTGTAATTGCATATTGTATCCCAAGCTTTTATTTTTTCAGGTTTGGCCTTCAATTTGTTAGAAAGTGCACTATTTTGAAATAAGTCTAAGAGGCATCAAAATAGGAGCTGTCAAAATTTGTTGGGCTTAAAAAAGGGATGTGTACGGTCGAGTTTTATCCGAACTTGACATGCCAGTCTGAAACTTTACGGTAAAAGAACGTTCGACTTTTATAATTTTATTATCTATAGTTCATGTCTGGTATCGATTAAAATCTAAATTTAAATTTAAGTCGAAGTCAACAATTAATTTTAACTGCATAATTTATGGATCCTACAATTTTTCAACTACACATTTCATTAAATTTTATCAAAATCTGCTAAAATTTTGATTTGAATCCTCACCAAACTTTTATCAAAATATAAGCTCACATGACTCGAAAGTATAACCAACATATAAGAAATTGCACTATTCTCCTTGAAAAGATTGCTCGAAAACCCGAGTTGGAAGATGGGCTCGAGGCTACTTTGAACTGCATGGGAGATGGAATTACATATTCTGAATTGTTAGATCTCTGCCTTACTTCTTCGGAATACTATTGAAGGCGGATCAAGTCCGCAATTATTGGAGGCGAATTCTAGAAATTTTTTATTATATATCCTCGCTTTGTGAAATGATTTTTTTATTTATATTTCGCTTAGCAAGATGTCTCATCTTTCGAGATGATTGTTGTTCCTCGCTTCACGATATGCATCGCCGATAAGATGATTATTAATCATGTCATATATGTTCAATACCTAACATAAAGGAAAAATTGTATTGTTATTCCTCGCCTGCGAGATGATAATTATTCGTTTAGTAGAGATATTGTATTGTATTTCAGGTTGGTTTAGTCCGCATGACAAGGAAATTGTTATTGAAATTTTGTTAGCTATTGACATGTTATTTTCAAATGCAAATCGTAATTCCTCACCTATTTGAAGTTGACTACATTTGTAATCTCATTCATAAACCATCACTTTGGATCAACTCATATTTCAGAGGTAATTCGTAAATCATCATCTAACTGGAGACAACTTCTATTTCAAAGTCTGACCATCACATAAATGTGTGAATTAGACTTAGATTACTATTGTTATACCAATGAATAATGAGGCGTGCATGTGGTAGATAAGGATCCTAATAAGTGTAGTTTCTACATTTATTCGAAATCCTAAATGATGATATTTTACTATTCTTTGGGTAAAATACTACATAACATGTGTTATATTATTGACTTTTGTAGATAAAACTCGATGTTTGATGAAAAATTGAAATAAAAAAATACAAAAATAGTGAAAATGACGAAATTCAAAAGTCGAGAACTAAATTGCAAACAATCCATAGATGAGATGGGCAACGAAATGAAGATCGAAGATACCAAACATTTAATTGGATAAACTTAATTGGAAGATAATTGAACAATATTGCAAGAGAAAGAGAGCTGAAATGAAGCAAACACAAAGTCCGGGGACTAAAGTGCAACTACTAAAAAGTTATGTCGAACCTCACGATAAAAATTTAAGAGTGCTATGGGTCAATTGGATAAGAAAAAAAGTCAAATGGATGAAGTATGGTCAAAAGATTATCACAAATCAACTTTCAACTGAAAAAGTCATGTTTCAGATCTTTAGCTTCACATTAAGACTCAATTTTGGCATAGTAAGCTTTCAAATTAAAAAATAATCATAAGAATTGCAGCCTTCCGAGTTAGCTTTCTAATGTACTTTGAATCACCTCAATTAGATATCGAGACAGAAAGTTATTATAAAAATAGTGAAAATCGTTCAGCTGTTGAAAATTATAAGAAGCGCGCGCCCTCGCCTGCAGGAGAGACTGCACGCCCCAATCAAAAATGGGATGCCTGATGCGTCCCAAACCAACCAGGCACGCACTCTAGATATGCCTAAGCGAGCGCCTCTGTTAAAAAAAAAAAAAAATCATATTTTCCTTATTTTTGTTTTGGTAATAATTCAATGCAATCTTTTTGGTATCATTAAAATACCAAACTTGATCAGAACGTGGGGGCCATTCGATTTAAATTTCATCATATTCTACATATTTCAGAAGCGAAGAACAAGTCTATACATTAATTCAAGGCGAATCATACAGAGATTTTGAAAATTCATAGCCCAGTTTTAATATTTGAGTCAATAACGTAGATTTTCCCTACTTTTTCCATCTTTCTTATCTCCGGGCGATTTTTTCTAATTATTTTTGTGTAATTTAGTTATAAGAATGTTATGTTAATTTTTTCATTGTATTTGATGAATGATGAACTATATTGTTTGTTTATTTTAATTCAAGACAAATTAGTTTAGTATTTCTTAAAAAAAATTTATTGGTTTTGCATTCCCATTGAACTATTCGATTGCTTGATCACCAATTAGATAGTAAGTTGCATGTAGGAATACTTACAACAAGTCTAGAACGTGGCAAAATCAACATATGGACAATAGATATTAGGAATAATATTTTTGTTAGTTTATGATTAATATATAAAATATACAGACCATCTTTTTTGATAGTACCACACTTCAAATTTAATAGTAGCTATTAAACTACAAATTAGACATTTTTCCTCGTGAAACGATATTTTTAACTCACAAATCTTATTACTTATACAACGATCACGTACGCTAACAAATTTTGTCCGAACAAGTCCCACATTGGTTGACTAAGCATTGACGTTTTAATTGGATTATGTTGATCAAATCAAACAAATTATCTTACGCTTGAGTTTGGTCCACTAACCCATCTTCATCCACTTCTCTATGCATATACATGAGTGATTGTCACTCAAAATGTATGTTCATCAAAATCCTCGTCGAATCCTTTGATTTATTTTTTTTACACTCGTCTTATTTCTCATTTCGATCGTCAGAGTGAAAATGATTTTCAAACCTTTTTTGGGACAACGTATATTAGTGTGCAGGTGACACATAAGTGGATGTGAAGATGGTCACGATCTATTGACCACAAAATCGGATAAATTTTGAGGTCATTATGGAACAATTATAATAATATATCGTAATTATTGTTATATTGTTTTTTAATAACAAAATTCCTACATATTTTTTCTCTTATAATGTATTTACGAAAATACCCTTTATTGATAAGAAATATTAGGTCGATTCAATCAAAGAAAATGTGAAGAATGTATTAGACCCGGTCGAGTCGAACACATTTTAGATGTAATTGTAGCCGTGAATGTAGATACGGGCAAACATCACTGGGCCGGATATGAAATGAAAATAAACAATAATTGACGACTAACCAAACGAAGGATTTCCCATATCTATTAATGCAACTGCGAACCATTTATTTTGGACCCCATGCATTAAATACATGCACATTCTCACCCCGACCCCACCCCACCCCTCTTGTATATATGTGTTAATTTCAACAATGATCACTCGAGTTTGTTAAAAATTTCAAAATGATCGTTAAAGTAATTTTCTTACAATAATTACAACTCAAGTTTCTTACATCTACATTAATGGTTAACCTAAAACCTAGCATGTTACTGTTGAATTTCAACACGAACGCAAATGACGTTAACTTGTTAAGAGTGTGTTTGGTAGAGATTAAAATCGGATTAAAATTGAAAAATTAATCGTTATTGTTGACTTTTATTAGACTGGTGTGACCCAATAACGATTATATTTTCAATTTTAATTGAAATTTTAGTGTTACCAAACAAGCTCTAAATAAAATAGGGTTGATTGCAGCTAAATACATAAAATCGTAATGGTCAGTGTTTTGCACATATTTGTTCAATTCGAATAATCAGCTAGTTGTTGAATTCACATTTTTCTTGGTGAACTTTTTGAAGGTGAAGCAATTTTTTTTTCATGTGACGTATTAGTTAATGCCATTTGTGTTTATATCAGAATTTAATAGTAACACATCGTTTGATCATTAGCGTTATCATTAGAAACTTATATGACTCTTATTGTAAAAAAAATTACTTCAATGACCATTTTGAAATTTATAATAAACTTCAGTGACTATTGGTGAAATTAATCTTTCTAATCTTATTATCCTACTGCCCACCTATCTTGCCATCAAACTCCGATATTAAAACTCTCTCTCTCTCTCTCACACACACAGATACATACACAGCCATGTATTATGTATGTATCTATATATATAAAGGGTAGTTGTTTGGTGAAGAGTTGAAACAGTGAACTCATTTAAGGATATAAACACGGACAGTAGTACACAACATTTTCATTTTTCACTTTTGACGACTATTTTTTATATCAGTTGAAAGTTTCTTGGTATGGAAATAGAGGTGGCAAGCGGCGGCGGCGGCGGTGGAGGTGCAAGTTCTAGCAGCTCCGGCGGTGATATTGAGAAGGGACTAGGGCGAAGCAACGGCGGAGCCGGAGCATACTTGGTTTGGGAAGATTTAACGGCGTTGCTCCCAAATTTTGGCCATGGACCTCCCAAGAAATTGCTTCATGGACTCAATGGGTATGCTGAGCCTGGGAGAATTATGGCAGTTATGGGTCCTTCTGGCTCTGGAAAATCTACTCTTCTTGATTCTTTAGCAGGTCTCTCTTTTTTCTCAATACATATACATACACACAATATATATATATAATGCGGGATTTGGCCGGAAAGTGTTCTTTTCTCTATCATTAGTTTGGATAGTCGTCGTTTCATATCGTTGTTGGACCATGTAGGCTTAACCACTATTGGCGCATCCATTATCGGACCGTGTAGACTTGATATCCAACCATTATCATGTCTTTAGTCCACTAGAGACAGATGGTGTCACTTGGTCCCTTAGAGATAGTTGTCTCGTGTTTCTAGCTATTCTCTATCTATCCACCTGAGTCCGTTGAACTTTTTTGGGGTACGGCGTGGGCCATGTGAATTTCTTTTGCTTCGATTAGCACTTCAATCCAACACTCTTTAGAAAATCAGTGGACACAAAACTTAGGGTCTGTTTGTTTTTTATTCTCAAATTCTACAGTAAATCAATTCTCATTTTCAACCACACATTCTTCAATAAAATAATATTTTCCATCACATCAATAATTTTTTCTTCTTTTTCAACCACACATTTCCCAATCATATCACTATTCAAAAATCAATTCTTCCCCCAAAAATCTCTACCAAACAAGCACTTAGTAATCTATAACCATTTAGACAAACATTTTACGTATCTCTCTTCCTCAATACCATAGAAGGGAAAAGTATAAAATTCACCCTCCCGTAGTAAAAACACAATTCAAAAGCATTTCAATCAGATCAGAAAAATAACTGTGAATTTTTACAGTACAGCTTATGTGTCATGAAGGTCACAATAAATTGGACAGCAAAGTAGTTGGTTGAATAAATGAGGGATACGCAAAATTTACATGTGGGATCTGTCTTTTTTCAAGTGCCAGCTAAAATACATACCACCTAGTAAATAATTTGTCATAGGAATTAATCCTTGTACCTAACTGTTTAAAGCTGGCATTCAACACTTAATTATTTGAATTTTAACATGTACAACGGAAATTTAATGTTTACGATATGCGCGTGGACGTGAACAACTTAATGGTCAACGACGATTTAACAAGGAACTAAGCGTGGGCGTGGACGTGAACAGCTTAATGGTCAACGACGATTTAACAAGGAATTAAGCGTCGTACTTTATGTTCCTTCCTTGGTGAGCATCCCGTTGGCGATTATTGAAGAGAGAAACGTTCTAATAAGTATAAAAGAGACGGCTTAAGAATCTTTTCTTGACATTTATGTCACGATAAATGTGAAGCGCACGCACATCCCTTCTCTCCCACTTCACACCTTGGAACACACCGTTCTTATAGAGATAAATGCGCTTTCACATCTTCTTAACCCGAAATGAAACAAGTATCATGTTTGGATGCGCAAAACAAGCACCTTTTGAGGTTTTTTTTCTTAGCGTTTTGTGTATACTGCCTAAAAGAAACCTAAAAAGATGCTTGTAAGCACGGACAAATGTCACGCCAGTACTTTTAGACAACAAATATTGCAATGACCAAGTGATTTTGATCTGTAAATGAATAACTTCTTGTTTCTTTTTCATTTTTTTGTTTGCTAACATTTAACTTCGTCACCAGGTAGATTATCAAATAATGTTGTCATGAGTGGAAATATACTTCTTAACGGGAAGAAGCGGAGGCTAGACTATGGTGTAGTTGTAAGTATTCTACACGAAGATAATTTTGAAACCTGATTGCTGTCCTTTAAGTAAACATACTTTGTTTTGTTCATTAAATCTCTTGGTGTAAAGGGTTTAATCCATAACACCTTTTGTGTCTTCCCAATATATTTACTTGTATATTTTTTGGTTCGATTAATTCAGGCGTATGTAACACAAGAGGATGTCTTGTTGGGAACTCTTACAGTCAGAGAAACTTTAACTTACTCTGCCTATTTAAGGCTTCCAACTACCATGTCTAGAGAAGAGGTAAAGGGAATTATAGAGGGAACCATCATTGAAATGGGACTTCAAGATTGCGCAGATCGACAGATAGGGAATTGGCAGTTACGAGGCATAAGCGGTGGAGAGAAGAAAAGACTGAGTATTGCACTCGAAATTCTCATAAGACCTCGTATAATGTTTCTCGATGAACCTACTAGTGGCCTCGACAGTGCAGCGGCTTTCTTTGTTATCCAAGCTATTAAAAATGTCGCTCGTGATGGAAGAACGGTTATCTCCTCGGTTCATCAGCCTAGTAGCGAAGTTTTCGCTCTGTTTGATGATCTCTATTTGCTATCCGGAGGTGAAACTGTTTACTTTGGTGAAGCAAAGATGGCTATTAAGGTATGATCTATAAATCATTTCAAGGTTAAGCAAAGATGGCAATTTTCTTTGTTCTTTTTTGTGGACTATGACAGTACGCTACAATCCGAGTTTAATATTTATTTTTTGCTTTTCAGTTTTTTGCCGAAGCAGGGTTCCCCTGTCCGAGTAGAAGAAATCCTTCTGATCACTTCCTTCGATGCGTTAACTCGGACTTCGACATTGTAACAGCCACATTGAAAGGTTCACAAAGACTTCGTGTAAGAATTCGATAACACGTTTAGTGCCTCTTTTAATTTTCATTTCTATTACCCTTTAGTCGATTACTTGATGCTACTGTACAGAATTAATGTTGGATGTGTCTTGAAAGAATGTGCAACAGTATTCGACTGAGTTGTTATATGTTTATGTTGAAGAAAAATTACAATCGCGCTTTGTAATAACAGGAAATGCAGAGAGCACCAGATCCTTTAATGAATTTGGCAGCAGCAGATATCAAATCTGTACTTGTCGAAAAATATAAGAACTCGGAGTATGCACGAAAAGCCAGATCGAGGATCCGAGAAATCTCTTCCATTGTAAGTACTCAAAGGTCAAGCTTAATACTGTTTTTGCTCATAACATATTTCAGAAAAAACAGTACCTAATATAATTAGTTCATGAATTACAGCAAGGGCTCGACTTCGTAACAATTAAAGGAAGTCAAGCAAGGTGGTGGAAGCAGCTTTCAACATTGACCCGAAGATCGTTCTTGAACATGTCTAGAGACGTGGGATATTACTGGTCTCGTATAGTCATCTATATAGTCGTTGCTCTTTGTGTTGGCACTCTATTCTATGATGTTGGCACCAGTTATACTGCAATCTTGGCTAGAGGAGCATGTGGTGGCTTTGTGACCGGCTTTATGACTTTTATGTCTATCGGAGGTTTTCCATCCTTCATCGAAGAAATGAAGGTAGACAGCTTAGAAAAGTTCACTTATAAGTTAGTTGCTTATTTGATGCTAAGGTAAGATTTTCATTCTATGAACAGGTTTTTTATCGAGAAAGGCGGAATGGATATTATGGAGTTGCTGTGTTTATATTATCAAACTTTCTCTCTTCATTCCCGTTCTTGGTTGCGGTCTCGGTCGCTACTGGAACCATTACATACTACATGGTGAAATTTCGGACGGAATTTTCTCATTACATCTTCTTTTGTCTAAATATTTTCGGAAGCATTGCTATGGTAGAGAGTGTCATGATGATTGTAGCTGCGCTAGTTCCTAACTTCTTAATGGGGATCATAGCCGGGGCTGGAGTTCTTGTAAGTAATTTTTCTAGCTCTGTATAATCATGTTTATCTGTGCTTCGAAGTTACCTTTTTTTTTTTTATCTACAGAAGTACGCTTTTTGTTAGTTAAAAAGTAACTTAAAAGTAGCTCCTCGATTGTTCATGTCATGCATTTCTATACAGGGGATCATGATGATGACAGCTGGATTTTTCCGTTTGCTCGATGATCTTCCCAAGATATTTTGGCGCTATCCAATTTCTTTAATTGGCTACGGTGCATGGGCACTACAGGTACTTTGACAGTCTTAATTCGATAGTGTTTTTCTCCTATTTGAATGTGATACTAAGATTGAGGTGAAATTTAATTATAAATCACATTCAGGGAGCGTACAAGAACGATATGCTAGGAATCGTATTTGATCCTCTTGTACCCGGAGATCCAAAATTAACGGGCGAGCATGTCATAAAAGTTTTGTTCAAAATACCGTTAGATCATTCCAAGTGGTGGGATTTGTTCGCCGTGTATGCCCTCATAGTATGTTATAGATTCCTCTTCTTCATCATTCTTAAGTTAAAAGAAAGAGCGGCGCCTATTTTCCACTCGCTTTATGCAAAGAGAACAATGCATCACATCAAAAAGCGCTCTTCATTCAAGAGGAAGCCGTCTATTACTTCCAAGAGGCACTATAACCTCCACCCATTGTCTTCTCAAGAAGGTCTAAACTCTCCGATCCCTTGAGAGGCAATGAAAGACGAGTATGACTACACATTACACCGGAATTGATTCCGATATCTTATGTTCCCATGGTTCAGTAGTTCACGCTGTTCTCTTACTAACATTTATTATTGTATTTCATGGTTTATATTTGTGTTTGGCTTGCATGTAATAAATGTTCTTAATATCAAAAAGAAATACGGTAAAAGGTTGAATTTAGACTCGTGTACATAATATAATTGTTATTCTTACATATTATGATGTGTGATAACGAGGGGTTTTTCTCTTATTATTAGTATTCTTTGCGTAAATAATATATTTTCACCTTATATTTCTTATGGTCTCGCCTAATAACGTTATGAACATGGCTACTACGTTAATCGAATGTAAAGTTGTCACTTGGAGGCAAAAATTTGTGCGGAGGGGGGAAATCTTACAAGAAACCTCGTATGGGGAGTCTATTCGAATGAAAACATAACATATTGTTCAAATATTGTAGTACCAATCCTACCCATTTTACTCAACTATGAACATTATGAGCATGAAATTCGAGAGTTTTACTCGAACTTTTCCAATATTCCTAGTTGATGAACTTTTCCTCTCTTTCTTTCACACTTAACATATAAACGCAAAAAATTGTTTCTTGAACACACAATTTTGTGGAATATATATGTTCCATCAAGAAATGTAATGATTTTTAATAATTTCGTTTTCTTTATCTAAGTTCAATGTTCGAAATTTATTTGTTATTTTAAGAGCGTTAGAGTTATTAACATTATTTACCATTAGGGCTGCTAAGACCCTGTTTGGTAGGTTTTTGAAAAGTCAAAAACCATTTGAGTTATTAAAATAAGTTGGCTCAAAGTGGAACCATCCATGAAACTCTTCTACAAAAATAGATGAAAAAGCTAACACGAAGATCCGCGGTGGACCATGCCTGCACTGAATCTCGGACCACCTCCACAGCCCACTTTAAAAAAAATCTGAAATGGGCCAAATAATTGGCCCAATCTTATATAACAAACCCTTCCCACAATCCTTCTTAAATCCTTCACAGAATCAACCAGCTGCCGCATAATGTTTGGCCGCGCATTTCAACCTTTACACTAACACCACTATCAGGTATTTTTTCGATTTAGTGTGTGGATTAAATTTAATATAATTATTAGGGTCCGTTTGATTGCAAATATGAAATTTGGGTGGAAAGAAAATGAATTATAAAGAATTGAATTGTCTAAAATTTGTTTTACTAGGAATTGTAATTAATTGTATTTGATTGGTACCTGGAAAATTTTGAAATTTTGAATCTTTTGGTGTTCGTCTGACTTTGTTTTCCATGAAAACTGTCCATTAAAAGGAATTTTTTGTTTACAATTGTCTATACAATTTGTTTTAATTGCAAATAATAAAAAAAAAAAAGTAACCTAGAAAACATATTCTCACCAATGTGATGGGAATTGGTTTTCCTTGAAAACCAAGAATTGTGTAGAAAATGAGGTAAATGTGGAAAATGAATTCCATGAAAAATTTAACATATCAAACAGCTTAAAAGGTGAAAAATGGAAAACGAATTCCAACTTCCCTAGAAAATTGGGTGCTATCAAACAGGCCCTTAAAAAAATTTGAAATGCGCGGCTGGGCCAANATAAATAGGTAATTGTCTTGCTATAAATTTCATATTTTATTTTCTTTATTTACATTTCAATTCCTATTTATTACAGTCAGTCATGGAAAGATTTTATAAAAAAAAAACTCTTGAGGTTGCGGAAAATGTTAATGAAGAGACGTCAAGTGGAGAAGATTTTGATGTTGCACAACTTCCTACCGATCCTGGATTAAGGACTCCAATCTTGAATTACAATTCTAATATTAGAGATCAAGTTCGAAGAGCATACATGCAAAAGGGTCCTTGTCAGCCATTTAACCATGAATTTAAGAAAAGAATATTTGGAGAAAAAAAAATCTAGAAGATTCAATCCTTCTTGGTTTAACGAGTTTGATGGTTGGTTGGAGTATAGTGCGGCAAAAGAAGCGGCTTTTTGCTTGTATCGTTATCTTATTAAAACAAGTAGTGGGAAACAAGGTGGAGGCAACTCATTAGTTGGTGAAGGATTCACGTATTGGAAAGATAAAAAGAAGCTTGTTGCTCATGTTGGAAAGTATAATAGTTCACATAATTATGCTCGCATTAAATGTGAAGTTTTGATCATGTGGAGAAAAATATGTTCTTAAAGATTGATAATGAAACGATTGTATAAAGATATCGAAGTATGAAATTTGTAAAGAACAATTGTAAGGTATTCATTTTTAGTATAATGTTTGTTTTATAAGATTGTTATTTTTTGTATGTTTTCTAATACCGTTCACACTAGACAAATTTTCTGGATTTGCCCCTGACGAAAATATTACGTATAAATAAATAAATAATCTTACCTCTTGAGTGGCTAAGAATTTTATGTGAAAATAACTAGGGCCTTGCTTGAAGTACAGAGAAATTTCCCATAGGCACCTTACTGGTAAGACATCTGGTGGAGCTTGCTGCAATTATTTTTAAAAAAAATACATGTGGGGCCTATGCCCCCTGTGAGGGGCCGTAAGTCCCCTGTAAAACTATCCCTTATACTTGGGTATTTATCCAAATAACTAACGATGAACTATGATCATGGATCAGTTAAGTCAAATCTAGTAGCAGTTTGGCTAAAAGTTGGAGATTCTCGAGCAAGAATAGGTAGGCCTGTAAGGCTATCCTATCCCCCCCATGCCTATGGTGAGTGATAAATTGTATAATATAGATGTTCTTTAGTAGTAGCCGGTGCCCACCTTAGCGGGCTGAGAAATTAATAGAGTACAAAATTTATCTTCAAACTTTACCTCAAATTTAACAATGTATTTTTCTAATAAAATAATTTTACTCTAAAACCTAAAACCGTTCCTTACTTTTTAGTAATACATTATCCAAAAAATCACGTATAAAATTCATTTTTATGAAAAAATGGGGCTACAAATTTTAGTAGGAAGGCTTCTCTCCTCTTTCTTATTTTGATTGCAACTGGGGTTCCAAACCTTTTAAAACATTGCCGTCTATATTCAAATATTTCATTTTTGCATCTGGGGTCAATTTGTCAGGATCCATCCCCAATGAACTTTTCGGTATGAAAAAGTTAAACACTTTAGATTTATCACATAATAGTTTGAATGAGACGATATCTCTTTCTTTAGTTAACCTCGACTTTTTGTTAAAGTCCAGCGTTGCTTATAATAAACTGCTTGGAGCAATTCGTGCTGGTGGCCACTTCATTGCCTTTTCAAACTAAAGATTTGAAGGGAACCCAGATCTCTATCCTTGTCCCAATGTCATCGATCTTTATGCTGGCATGTAATTGAAAAATTATTTATCCAGAATAGCAGGATGTTGAAACTATTGAGAAAGATTTGGAAGAACTGGGTTCATTGAGTCTTGATTGGGTGGAGTGGGGCGACGGTGTAGATTGTTTGTGATGGTGTTTGCGAGGGTTGCTGAAACTGTGTGTGGCAGTTGTTGATTGTAGAGGTGGGTGGATTTTGGTTGGAATTAGATGAGGAGGTGGTGGTTGGGGGTTGGGGGTGGAGCGAGGGAAGAAACCGAAAGATTTTTTGTTTTAGAAATAGTAATTTGACCATTTTGCCCTTCACTTAAATTGTCAAAATGATTCAAAGATTGAATTTCTTGGTCAATTGGAGGATGAATGGCAGGATTCCGTCCACGTATCCTCCATTTGCCATCATTATTAAAGGTTCGGGATCCCAAACGCAAAAATGAAAGTATTGGGTAGCCTACAATATTTTGAAAGGTTTGGGATACCAATCGCAATTCTCCCTTATTTTAATGAGTTGCCTGACTTGAACTATTCATACATTTAAGCCTACACGACTTTTTTAATAAAAGGTGGTAGAAGATGGTAGTTAAAGTTTGACTGCGACACTTTCAAATCATGCTCTCAAACTATTTCATCGAGTTTGAAAAACCATTTACTTTAATCCTTGCTTGACAATCATCGTTTGAAAAAAACAATGTTTTGAATAACAATTTCTATAAAAATGTATGGTTAAAAAGTAGATAAACGTTTTGAATTTACGCACAGAATATTTTATTAGGGTTGAACAAAACTCTCAAATCGAATCGAATTGGACCGAATGGAACTGAACTGAACCGATCGATTCTTCTTAAGTTAAATGTCCGAACGGGTATCTGAATCGAGAACCGACGGATTCGGTTCGATATCCCTAATTTTTAAAATTTTTTATCTTAAATAAGTCAAATTATTTTATTTTTTAAAATGAATTGCTAACTAATTAATTTAGTTCAAACCTAAATATATGATTTTACTATTTCTAATTTTCAACCAAATCTCAAATTGACGTAATAATTTACCCAAATCTCTTATTTTACCGTAATGTCATTTCTACCGTCTATTATTGTAAACTAGCAATCTTCCACTTCCTGTGATTTTAGTGCAAAAGATATCACGAGATTGGACTACGTTATTTTGTAAGAGATAAAATTGAATGTGTCATAGTCGAATTAACGTAGCATTGTTGTAATATAAAAAAATTAATTATTGTACGAAATCCCGAAAACGAATAGAACCGAACTCGAACAGTTCCATAATTAAATTTGGACCCAACGATTCCATTTACTAAATACCCGAAATTTTGGATTTGGTTTGATTCTCTCTAGAATCGAATCGAACCGGACCATGCCCACTCCTATATTTTACTATGTGAATGTGTGATTAAAAATCAATACGTAGAAAAAAAATGTTTTTAAATAATGGTTGTCAAACGAGGACAAATTATTCAGATTCAACTTATTTTAATCTTTGGATTATTTTTAAATAAATTTAACATGAACTCAAAGGGTTAGGTGATTTCAATATGAAAATTACATTTCAATTAATGTTATAAATTATACAATGCCTGTTTTATAATTTTTTTTAAAAAAATTGAAATCGCACGTCGCTTTCTACTACATCTCTCTATAGAAT